GAATCCGCTATTTATCATCCGCTATCCACTTTCTGCCATCCGCCATCCGCTATCCGTTAACCGCCACCCGCTATCCGCTACAACTATCTACTATCCACTATCCGCTACCCGCTACCCGCTACCCGCTATCCGCTGAATTTTAACCGCTGTACCAAACAGGCCCTAAAAATATGAAGATACCTAATAAGACTCTTAAATAAAAAAATCTAATCCTAATAAGACTAGACTAGGAACTGAATAATAATCTAAGATTACACTTGAATAATAATAACTACATAAGAATCCTAAATAATCTAAATAACTATTAAATAGCTTCTTCTTGTTCCTCATCAGATTGACTGTTTGTGCATTAAATTACAAGCAATGTAATAGTTCCATGTCCAAACAGAACACTGTAAATTGATGGAGTTCTTTCCTTTATTTCACTTTTGACTTGTTTGTAGAGAAAAAGGGTAAATAAGGATACTAACTCTAGACTTGTTTCTATTTAAGAATGTTAACTTTGTCAATTTCTAAATAAAGATATTAACTTTTAATTTTTTGTATTTAAGGATATTAACTTTCAACTTTTTCTATTTAAGTATACCAACTTTCAACTTTTTCTATTTAAGGATTAATTAGATGGTAATGCTAACATGACAAATGGATTTTTTAACTGAAATGTTGAAATTTGGCATCCTTAAATAGAAAAAAAATTAAAAGTTAACATCCTTAAATAGAAAAAAAATTAAAAGTTAACATCCTTAAATAGAAAAAAAATTAAAAGTTAACATCCTTAAATAGAAAAAGTTGAAAGTTGATATCCTTATTTAAAAACTAACAAAGTTAACATCCTTAAATAAAAAAAAATGCAAAGTTCACATCCTTATTTGCACCATTTCTCCTTATTTGTATTAATAGACATTAATAATGATCTTTGTGTGAATTTTAAGGATAAAAGAAGAGGGGTTTTATCCGCACTGCGCTACAGTAACTACCTTATTTTTTGTAAATTATAAGATTCTTAGGTTGATTGATTTGGAGAGAAATTTAGAAGTGTTTGGCTTACTTTGGTTGCAGAATGCTCTGCCAAGCTTGGTCACGAGATATGACAGGGATTTTGACTATGACTATTTTGGTTGGAAGACCCTTGAGAAGTCTTACCACCTAAAAATTGATGATAGTGTAGTGGAAAGGCCACCGCACATGTTAGCTCTTCTTTTTTTCCAGCCAACAGCACATGTTAATGAGGGTTACTGTTGGTATTCACAAAGCTGACATTGACACTGCTATAAGAACATACCATTTGATGTCCCAGCCTTGCTATGCTCATGGTACACCTACCCTTTCCAATGCAGGAACTCCAAAACCTTGACAACATTAGTACCAAGTGTACACTCAGGTATGAGTCCACTTAGGAGTGAATATACATCCCAAAGCAGTACCAAGTATGACTATAATATCAAATTTTTCTGTTCTTTAAGTTACAACATTATTCTTGAAAATGATTTACCTTCTTCTCTGTTGTGATGAGGCAGTTGCATAGCTGTTTTCTACTCTGCATGAAGGATGACAGCATTGAGGGCATATACGACCCTCTGAGGGAGTGCACTGTTACAAGTAAATCTGAGGAATTGGTATTTCCATTCACAACATACGTCCCACTGGCATTTACATCAGTAGGATAAATAGGACTTAAAATAGCTTTGTTCCATTGCTCTGCATTTTTAATTATGCTACTCACTATGTTGACCATGGGGGAGGCAAGAGAAAGGGTAGTTAAACACAGTCAAATTCCCTACATTTTTTATTCCCATCTTTTGTTTTAATTTTAATATGCTTTTAATCTTATTGTAGATTTACAGAATGCATCTGTCAATAGATATTTCAAGTGCATATCAGTAAAATGTTTCCTGGACATCTCAGCAATTATGAGCTTGAGCCTCCGTGTTGGATGTCTAAAGTTTGAATCATAGGAAATATGCAATTAATCTTTTGTTCCTTTTCTGGCGTATAGTTGTTGAGTGGTTCATCGGAATTGTTGCATATTAATCATAGGAAATATGCAATTAATTATTACCATAATATGGCACATAAATTTTCCTTCTTGATGCTGATGGTTAAGTCTGTTTAACTCAGGGCAGGACAAGGATGCTTATTCTGCAAGGAAACTCTGGTTTGAGATTCTAATTTCTCAGATTGAAACAGAAACTCCTTATGAGCTTTTTAAGGTATCTGTGTGTGTGCATGTGTGCAGGGGCATATTGAATGCTTTTGAAGCAATATACAAATGAAAATGTCTTAATTGGTATATTCTTTTCTTTTACAACTACAAGATTCTTGCAATAGGAAGAGCAACCAACAGAATCTAGGCACTAACAGTTCCTCAAATCTGTGCACAGAGGTTATTGAGTTCACAAGTCTTAACAGAAACTGCAGTGTGCAATGCATGCATGTAATATTTCCAATGGGTGTTCAACTGTAGGGTCTCAATTCAAAGCATGTGAAGTTTGTTTGATGTATGTGTAAAAATTTTTATTCTTGTAATTAATTCCAAAGGGACTTGAACTTACGGAATGACATTTCTTTTCTTGCTTTAATAGGTAACTGCAACTGTTGCTGCAAACCTTAACAAAATTATTGATATCAATTACTATCCTGTTGAAAGTGCAAGGAAGTCAGATTTACGACATAAATGGATTGGTATTGGGTTCAGGGTCTCGCTGAAACCTTCATCCTACTCAGCATGCCATTCGATTCTCTGGGGGTATTACATTATAAATAGTTTTGTTAATTAAACCACCGGGCTCAAAATGCTTATTTATTTATATATTTATTTTATTAAATTTTGCAGGCCAAACAGTTGAATAAGGGTATGTATATGAGACCGTCTACTACCATGCGCCGAAATCTTCTTTTGAGCTCTCTACAACAGAGATGGACATATCATAGCAGTCCTGTGA